GACAAAGTGGCCCCAGTGACTGTGGGACTCTGGTGTGAGGGGACGTGGGGGCTCCAGCACCCCGGTATGAGGGTCTGGGTCATCCCTAGGGGCTTGGTGTGAGGGGACGAGGTGGCCCCAGTGGGTGACAGCGTGTTTGAGGGGACCCCAGGCTTTGGGGTCAGCGCTGCCCTGCTCAGGACAGTGCTGGTAGGTGATGGGGGCGTCTCAGAGGGGGCCCCTGCGCTCTCCTGGTTGGTGTGAGGGGGGCCCAACGAGCTCTGCTCCACCCCAGGAGTCCCTGGGATAAGAGGGCCAGGCTGCTCGGTATGTGCCGGCGGCGGTGGCTGACTGCAGTTGTGCTTCTCACAGGATCCAGCGTCATGTTTTACCTGGCAGCCGCTGTGTCGGATTTCTACATCCCCGACTCAGAGATGCCCGAGCACAAGATCCAGTCCTCGGAGGGGCCCCTGCAGGTGAGACACCCCTGGGCATGGCCCCCCTCCGCCACCCCCTCCTCTCCTCCAGACATCCTGACTCTCCCAGTGTCCTGCCGGGGTCACGGCTGGCTGGGGACTGGCTGTGAATAAGACCTGGGAAATGCTGCAAAGCAACGGCTCGCTGGCCAAAAAAGCATGCATTTCCTCTGGGAATGGGAGGGCGCATTTCTGCGGGAGCAGAATCCCATGGAAATATCCCTTTAAAGCTGTACATGCTTACAGCATGGAGATGAGTAGATGATGGATCTCGGATAGCTGAAGAATAGTTGCTGCTGGAGTACTTGTGTTGCCTTCTTTCTGCTTAATGCTGACAACAGCCCGAAAGTGTAGCATGTGTCTCATGCCCAGATCCCTTTCAGCTATGGGAGCAGGTGGATCTAGAGCTCTGTATATAACAAATACCAAATTTGTTTAGTTTAATTAGCTTTTAACAAGTTGCTGGGCTTAATTCTTTATCCTTGTGTATGAAAAATGAGACCCTGCCCGATTCCCAATGGCAGACCCAGAGGTTAAGAAGCTGGAGAACAAATACTCTACTTTTTTTCCCCATGCTTTGGCATATTTATGCTTCATGTGCCTTAAAGATTTGCTAGAAAGAAGGATTAAGATTTGACAAGGTGCCTGGATTTTGGAGAGCTGAAAACTCAGACTTCTGCAGTTGTAATTCTTTTTTTACTTTCCTCTGCTTATGTTCATATTCCTGGAGTGGTTTTTAGCTCTTAAATAACAAAATGTTTGTGCAGTTACTGTGGGCCTGCTTTACCGCTTAAGAACACCCTCCTTATTGTTAGTACCAGACTGATAATTTAATTTAGTTTTACAGTGCATGCCAGTGACATTTTAACCTTGTTTGGTGAGATCTGACGAAATACTGCCTTGGAAAACTTCCCAGTGTAAAAATCATGTGAAACGAAGAATGCATCGTAATGTTTTTACTGAAACTTTTCTCTGCTGGCTTTCCCCAATGCAGATCACAATGAAGATGGTGCCAAAAATGCTGTCTCCTCTCGTCAAAGAATGGGCCCCGGAGGCATTTGTTATTTCCTTTAAGCTGGAGACGGATCCCTTGATCTTAATTGATAAATCGCGGCAGGCTCTGGAGAAATATCGTCACCAGGTGGTGGTAGCAAATATCCTGGAGTCCCGGAGAACCTCTGTTATTATTGTAACCAAAGACTCACAGACTCCGTTATCTCTTTCTGATGAGGAAATAGCGCAAGGCATGGAAATAGAGGAAAAGATAGTGAGCTATCTTCAGGGCCAACATACTGCATTTATAGAGAAGAAAGTCTGAGGACCAGCTCTGAATGAAACAAGTGAAATTGTACTAGAGAGGGAGTGGAACTGGAGCAATTCTCTATCCCAGGTAAATAAAACAATCCTCAGTGAAACACTGTGGGAAAGGCTGCCGTCCAAAACCGTGTAACGTTTCTACGGCTTGGTAATGGTTATTGTTGCTTGCTTTGAAAAAGAAAAATACACTGAAGTGAAAACATTCCAAAGGATGATATTTGTTCTGGTGTCTAAAGAAGGAATGGATATATTGCTTTATTTCTGTCCCATGGGCTGGGAGAGCCGGGAGGTGGAGAAATGGTATATATGTCTGTATATAAAAGATTTTCTTGAATCTGCCTCTTCAAAGTTTCTTTTCGAATTGTTGGATGGAAGGCATGGTGCTTTGCAGAGAACAAGATGTTCCGTTTTTATGACTGGAGTAGAGCGACGGAGCTGGCAATCGGCTGCTATTGAAAGTGGACGGCAAAACAAGCATGGCAAGGGATGAAGGAGAAATGAGGTAACGACTTTGGAGAGAGCATCTGTTGCTCCGGGGGAGATCCAGTGGACCTACGCTTCAAGAACTCGGCTCAGAAACATGGTTCAAAAGATAGGTACTGTAGCAGTGTCCCTAGCGCAGCTGTTTCACAAAGATTTTCATTCCATCGTGGGTGTTAGTAGGTTGCTGCAGGGGGATAAAGGCAAGGAGACGTGTGGCACGGAGCACAAGCGGTGGTCTCTGAGCGTGGCTTGGGGACAAGAGGTTGGAGGAGGAGGAGGAGGCAGTGAGGGTGGGGAGGTGAAAGCGGATGGGATAGCAGCGATCAGCCTCGGGAGAACTGCCTCTTGGCTGTTTGGATGGAATTAAAATGGGAGCCAGTTAGAATCGGGACATTCCTTTTTTTTTCTAAATCTAAAGGATTACCAACTTCTAAGCATATATTCCTCATGCTTACAAAAAGCGAAGTGTAATTCTGTGGTAAAAAAAAATTAACTGCAGCTCTACCGCTGTCCATTGTGTGTCTCTTTACATGCTTTCCTTGAAATAAATTCAGTGGAAGTCTATAAAGAAAGACAATAACGCACAAGAATGCAGTTCTCGCACTGAAGCCTCTCCAGAGGTGAGACTCTGCTCTGTTTAAAACCACCGAGCATTCAAGAAGGTAACTTTTGTAATGACACCAATCACCTGAAAATTAGGCCTGCTCATAAAATGAGGATAAGAAACCCAGAAGAGCAAGAAAAGAGCGTGAGGATGGGCTCAGCGGATCAGCAGGGAGCACTGAACGCTAAAGGACTGTTACGGTGTGCAGGGAGGATATGTTTAGTGGCGGGAGAAACAGTCCGGATTAGTCAGGAGTGCTGAGATCCGGCTAGTAACTGCGTCAGGAGAAGGAACTAACAATTTCTACGTGGCCGGGACCGATACTTGCAGAAGGTGGAGAGAGAACTGAAGCAGAGACCGTCCATAGATGTGGGACGCACCTGTCGGAGACGCGCAAATAGGGAAGAAGAGGATGGTGGAATGTCCTGCACATGTGTTGTATGCGCTCATGAGCTCCGAGAGCTGCCTGTCTTCATCTTCCAGTACGTAATCAATGTGAACCTCGAGTCCTGCTAGTTCAGGGGTTTCCGCTGTCTTTATTTGGAGTCTTGCACTTACAAGCAGGGGTCGACCGGCAAAGATGAGAATATAAACTTGTGTAAATTGAACGTGCCCTTGCAGGACTGTTAGAAGAAGGGGTGGGAGAAGTGCAACAAACACTGTCTTTGGAGTATTCTGGTCTTTCTCTGGAAGGTGATTGTGAAGGAGAGAAATCTTAACTTTTCGAGGCGAAAACTCGGGCATCGCTCACCTCGGACCCTGCAGGAATCTCGAGAGGCTGCACCGTTCGACTTGGGAACACGGCTGTGGGCTTCCCTGCATGATGTCTGCTCCTCCTCCTTCAGGAAGGTGGTGAAGCCCAGGTTGGAAAGACTTTCAAAACTCAAACTAAGCCACAGGCATCCCGATCTAGTGTCGGTGATGGTCCTGTTTTGAGTGGGAGGTTGAACTAAGACCTCGAGAGCTCCCATCCCACTAATGCTTCTAGCGCCGGCAGTGTTGGGCACCAGCCCTTCTCGTTTGGGGGTGCTGGTTGTGGTCCTATAAGTAGGAAGCGGCTCCTGCAGGTCCAGGACCGTCTGTACTTTGCTTTCTGAGGCTCCCAGACGCTGCTCGGTCGAAGGTCCTCGCTGTGCACGGCCATGTCACTCTTCTCCACGTCTTGGTCTTTTCCTTTCTCTGCCATCCTCTTGCGCAGCGCCTTCAGCTGGCGAGTCAGCTCTGCAGGATGAAACCTACTTTGTCCCTTGCAGTTTCTCCATCTTGGCTGCATGCTTGCTCTACCTCGAGGGAAGCTCTTTGTCTCCAGCAGCTTCACTTGGGACTTAGAAGAAAACCAGAAAAACCTTCAGCCTGTTTTGCTTCGTTTTTTGCAGCCAGCAGAAGCGTTTCGGTTGATCCTTTGATTATGCAATGGACTTGAAGCGCTGGCCTTAAAGGGAGCGGAGGTGAAGACCGGGAAGCCCTGAATGCCACCGGTTTTATGGCCAGGAGTGGGACATTTCTCCTCCCTTGGTCACCTGAAGGAGCGCAGGGACCATCGCTGCTCCCGCGGCTCTGCCGGGGAGGGGGCGTGTCCGAATGGACGAAGGGGCGTGGCTTAGGCGCGCAGGGGCGTGGCCTTCCCGTCAGCCTGAGGGGCGGGGCGCTCGGTGCCCCCCGTTGCCATGGCGCCGGGA